TATTGGAACATAGTTTTGACACCATATAAATTGAGATATATTTTGAAGTGAATTATGCTAACTTACAATTTATTTTGCAATTTTGTTGGCGCTTATAATTATCAAGGCTCCAGCAAGGAATTGAAAAGTGTGAATGCTTCTGTTAATCCACTCATAATTTATGAGAGCTCCGGCACAAAGAAAAAACTCAAACGTATAAAATCTCTAATCTATTTTGTTGGATACAAAATTAAGGAGTTCAAAAGTGAAAAAAACTCCCATCAAATTAATTAAACTTAATAATTAAAAGATAGAATGAATTTATACATTGTAACATACTTTTGACACCTTTTAAATTTGAGATATATTTGAAGTCAATTATGCTAACTTAGAAATTATTTTATAATTTTGTTGGTGCTTCTAATTATGGAGACTCAAGAAAGGAATTGAAAAGTGTGAATGTTCTTGTTAATCCATCCATAATTTATGAGAGTGTCACAAAGAAGAAATTCAAAGGTATAAATTCTCTCAACTATTTGGATGTATACGAAATTAAGGAGTTCAAAATTGAAAAAGTTCCCACCAAATTAATTAAACTTAATATTTAAAAGATAGAATGAATTTGTTTTTTTGAAAGGTATGGGAACATACTTTTGGAACCATTTTAATTTGACAAATATTTGAAGTCAATTATTGTAAATTAGAAAATATTATTCAATTTAATTAGCCCTTATAATTATCGAGACTCAAGAAAGAAATTCAAAACTGTGAATGTTCTTGTCAATCCGCTCATAATTTATGAGAATATAGGCGCAAGCAAAGAATTCAAAGATATAAATTCTCTAAATTGGTTTGACGGATACCAAAGTAATTAAGGAATTCAAAGGTGAAAATGATCCCACCAACTAATTGAACTCAATTTTGGATACTGGAATCATACTTTTTCAGATATAACCGACCCATGTTTCTTTCTGCTGGTATAAAGATGTTTTGCGTCTTTGTTCATTTTTCGTTTTTTGTGATTTTAGGCAGCTGCTGGATGTTTGGGTTTTTATTTATGAAACTGTGATAGGTTTTGGTGGGATGATTCTTTGTTGACTCCTGGGTCTTTTATGTCTTGGCTGGGAGTCTTCCCAATTGTATAGGAGGTTGATCTCATTAGCAACCTGTGTTTGTTGGCTTTATTAGCAGATAACTGTTAAATAGGGGTTGTTTGTTCCCTATTTTGTGTTGCTTGCTTTTTACCATGAGATTCGTAGTTTTTGTAGTGTTTTCTACAGAAATGATATCTCTTTCAAAAAAAAAATTGAACTCAATTTTTAAAAGATAGAATGATTTTCCTTTTCTCTCTTTTCTTTTCTTCTTTTCTATTCTTTACTCTTTTCCTCTTCCTCAAACCTTGCAAGTGTAAGGAATTTTTTTTGTTAGACAGTGGAATATTTTTTGTTTTAGGTTTTATCTTGTAAAAATATATGGCTAAGTTATAACTTGAAACTACTTCATATCATTGGTAAGACCAAGGAAGAAACGAGAAAAGCAATAATTGCTTTCCATCACTTCTTTTTTCTCATGACGTGAGAGCTTGGCAAAATATTTTCTCCTTAATTAATATCATTTCTGCTAAAAACCCTTTTGCAGCACTGTCTTTGCGATTGTAATACACCTTTGTAATTTTTATTATAGCACAATCCAATAATTTTGTAGTATTTTGAGTTTTCCAAGGCAAAAGGAAATACATTTACTTTTGACGCCTTTTTTTGACCAAATTCGTGGGGTCTATTATACTAAACCAGGCAATGTTTCAAAATGCAGTCTTTGCATATAATTATCACTATTCAAGTAAAAACTTCAAAAATCTGAATGCTGCAGATCTCGTAATTGGCCATCCATTTAAAGTTAAAAGGGATGGAGTCGCGAGCTAAGAATTCGAAAGTATGAAATCTCTAAATTGATTTTATGGATATGGAAGTTAAATTCAACAGAAGGTTTTGGGAAGAGGGGGAATAAAAATATCCTATGTCTTCTAAAGTACCTTACGCTTCAAATTGCCAAAGATAGTATTCATGTTTTTTGTTGAATATCAATCTTGCTTA